CACTGCCCACCTCCTCCCACTGCTCACCTCCTGCCGCTGGGTTCATAACATGTATGGGTACCGGTCCGCAGTCCTGGGGATTGGGGACCCTGGTTTAGAGGACAACAAGCTCAGAGAAAGGTCCTGGGCACCTATGACTTCTTGTTTTCAGACAGAGGGACACATTTGCAGAGAAACCTCACCAAATGGCCAAATGGCAAGAGGAAGCCCCCAGCTCTGTTTACTAGTCCTTCAGAGGAGTGTGTTCTCAGTTCAAGTGCCTGATGTATCCAACTGTTCTTCCTTCATAAGTACACCACACTAATCTACAGAAAAAGGCTCTCCTCGTCAGTCCAGAGTTCTACAGCCCTTTGTATCTATCGTGATGTGGTATTCTACTGTGTCCTAGTAGTTCTGAACACAATATTTGAACATATTGCATTTATCTAGGCACACATCAGCTTGTAACCCAATTAACACTCTCGCCCATGTCAGATACAATATTTAATGAACTCAACTGAACTCCTGAGAGTGCAACATGTAGTTATTTATGAGTAAACTCAGGTTTGTCAAGTGAGGACTGAGAAGGCACATGATTCCTATAAACACTTTCCCCCGCTCTATTGCATTCATAATTAGTCACATATTTGACAGTGCACTTTGTAGAGATTCTAACTATTTAGTGGCCAAATAAACTGTCAAATAGGCCTTGATTTTTAGGTCACTACATACTTGTAACGTGTTGTGTCAGTATTTGTAAGTCAATAGGACTTTTTACTTATCACTGCATGTTCTGGATGCTTCTCTAGTCACTGGCTAGAATTACAGGAAAATCATGTCCAAATGCCCTTGGGGTCACTCTCCCCAGGCATTATTTGTCTATGGAAAGGACCTGTTGGAGGTTCATCTCAATCCCTGCTCAGCCCCTTCCCCCAAGAGTAAAGGTACAGCAGAGGCTCTCCTCAGGTAGTGGAGAGGTGGTCTGAATTTTTCCTATATGCTCTCCTGGGTCTAGATTCAGTCCTGCTCCTCTGGCTGGTGTGTGATCCAAGGTAGTGGTGATGGCAGGGTACCTTGTTCACTGCAGCTGAGACTCCATACTCATCCACGATGTCCCTGTGGCCAGAAAACTGTCTTTACATGAACTCTAGCCCAGTGAAAGGGACAGTTTTTCCCCATATGAGGATATCCCACAGGAACAGGATTGGCTACAAAGAAGACCTGCTTCTGTCCAGATCCCAAGATTGAGCTACAAAGTCCCTCTTGTCCCCAGTCTCTTGCAGGGGCCTATTTTCTGCAGTTCTGGCTGCAGTCTTCTCCTACCACGAGGCTTTTATGAAATAAGGATGGCATGAGAAACAACCGCTAGTTAATGGCAAGAGTGTGGGCCGGGCTCGGTGGCTCAGCCTGTAATCCCGGCACTTTGGGAGGCTGAGGCGAGTGAATTGCCTGAACCCATGGGTTCAAGACCAGCCCAGGCAACTTGGTGAGCCCTTGTCTCTACAATAAATAAAAAATTAGCTGGGCATGTTAGCGCGTGCCTGTAGTTCTGGCTACTTGGAAGGCTGAAGCGGAAGGATCGCTGGAGCCTAGTAGGTCGAGGCTGCAGTGGCCGGGAGCATGCCACTGCACTTCAGCCTGGGCAACAGAGTGACTCCAATTCAAAAAAAAAAGAGCAAGAGTGGGGTTATTGTTCAGTTTCTTAGATATGATATCAGTATTATGGACCTACACGTGATTTTCCCAGAAGGTGACTGATTTTTTTTTTTTTTTAGTATAAATTTACTACTAAAATAACAACAGTTGGTTGTGTATATTCTGAGACTGTTGGTTCAGCCTATGGCCTCCCCCTTCTCTGAGAACTCCCTCCCCAGATATGGTCGTGGGCTCCTTTGGCAACGTTCATAGTATATAACAAGATCCTTTGACCAGAACTGATAAGATCAGGGGTGGACACTTGACTAAGATGGACAATTTAGATTTTCTTCAGAGACTTGGAACTTGGACCTAAGACACTGCTCACTTGGTTTCTGGTATTGAACTGAGTTGCTGATGTAGCCTTGAAAGGCTATTTCTCATGAAATGAAAGCCAGTATGTTGAGAGAAAAGAGCCAAGTGATCACAGTGATTCAGAGACTCAAGCAAAGCTGCACTACATTTCTGCTCTCAGAGAGCGTTCTGCCTGTTCCCCCTTTGTCTTGATAGTAAGTCGATTTCCCTTTTTGCTCAGGCAGTCTGAATGGGTGTCTGTTATTCAGGATCAAGAGCTAAAATGATGCTGTACTTGGGAAATTTTTCAGAAGTTCCTTCCAAAACTTCTAGAGATTGCCCATAATTATTCTTTCCTGACTTTTTTTTTTTTTTGAGTTGGAGTCTCACCTTGTCACCCAGGCTCGAGTACAGTGGCACGCTCACGGCCAGTGCAGCCTCAACCAGTTGGGCTCAGGTGATCCTTTCACCTCAGCCTTCCAAGTAGTTGAAACTACAGGAATGCACCATTATGCCCGGTTAATTTTTTTCATTTATTGTAGAAATGAGGTCTTGCCAAGTTGTCCAGGCTGGTCTCAAACCCGCAGGCTCAGGCAATCCTCTCACCTCGGCCTCCCATAGTGCTGGGGATTATAGGTGTGAGCCAGCTCTCCTGACATTTTAATATTAGAATCATTAGATAAACAATATCATGATGGTGTTGCTTTCACTTCATGAAATAGTGACATGGAAGACACCTTAGGAGACATCTAATTCAAATTTTCACTTTCAAGTAAGGAAGCCAAAGCCCAACATCACCAAGAGCCTTGCCCAATAGTGAGATCAGAACCTTGTGTCTGTCAACACTCAGTCCAGAGCCATTTGTCACTGAACGTTTTAGGGCCAACAATGGTATTCCCCTTTCCTTAATTCCAAGTGAGATCACTAAATAATATTTACTGATTGCCCATTTAACTGACCAGACACTTTTAGTTGTAAGTCATAAATCCAGCTCAAACAAGCTTAAAGAAAAAAAAAGCCTCCAGAAATACACTTGTTTTGGGAATGGCTGGTTTCAGCCTCAAAATTACTGTGACTAGCCGGGCTCGGTGGCTCAGCCTGTAATCCTGCACATCTGGGAGGCTGAGGTGAGTGGATTGCCTGAGCCCGCGGGCTCGAAATCCGCCTGGGCAGGCGAGACCTCATGTCTACAATAAATTAAAAAATTAGCCGGCCGTGGTAGCATGCGCCTGTAATTCCGGCTACTCAGAAGGCTGAGGTGGAAGGATTGCTGGAGCCCAGCAGGTCGAGGCTGCGGTGGCTGAGAGTGGCCACTACACTCCAGTCTGGGCGACAGAGTGAGACTCCAACTCAAAAAAATAAAAAATAAAATAAAATTACTGTGACTATTCTACTTGTAGGAAAGACTTTCCACAAGGTGAGGGCACTTACAGACTCACATCTGGCTGGCTTAGCTACCCACTTAGTACCTACCTGACTATTCTTAGGCTTCTCAGTTATGAGGCAATACATTCTTCTTTATTCCCTTAAGCCAATTTGAATTTGGTTTTTGTCACCTGCAAAAAAGTCCTGACTAAAACTGAACTTCTAAAAAAGAGCTCGCCACATATAAAAATAACAGTAACCAATTAGATAATCTTTTCATGACTTTTAAAGCACAGGCAGTATGAGCAAAAGCTGAAAGAACATGCAGAGAAGACAGTAATCCAGGTCATGATGAAAAGAACCTGCCTGTAGCTCATGCCTGTAATTCCAGCACTTCGGGAAGCTGAGGTGAGAGGATTGCCTGAGCCCAGGAGTTCAAGACCAGCCTAGGCGACATGGTGAGACCTTGTCTCTACAATAATTTAAAAAATTAGCTGGGCCTGGTGGTATGCACCTGTATTCCCAGCCACTTGGGGGGCCTTGAGGCAGAAGGATTGCCTGAGACCACCAGGTTGTGGCTGCGGTGAGCCGTGATTGTGCTGCTGCACTCCAGCCTGGGCAACAGAGTAAGACTCAGACGAAAAAAGAAAAAGAACCTAACTCTTGACACCCTATCTTAGCCTCTCTTCTCACTTTTCTATCTTGTTTCTTCTGCTTAATCAGAATTTCTGCTTATTTACCTTCAGTTTATTCTTGCTCCCACCAGTACATAGCCTGATTGCTGCACAATATCCTAAGCTGGTTTGACTGTGGAGTCCTTTTCTTGGAAACATAGCAGAAGGTAACTGTGAACAAAGCCTCTGGGCTTTACACAGAACAAGCAACAACAGGTTTCCTCTTCCAACTTAGTAAGGCACCTTGTGACATCCTGGGATCAGAAGTAACTTGTAACTAATGTGATGATGGCATATGGGTCAGGCTGTGGGCTTCCCCATGGCAGAAGACTAGACAATGCAAGCAAGGTCCTTTCCAGGCAAGTAATTGCACCTGTAATTTTCCTGGATCCTCAAGTACTTAACATCTCTGAGTCTTGACTACTGTGGCATCAAAATGGCAGAAATCAGCCAGGCTCGGTGGCTCAGCCTGTAATCCCAGCACTTTGGGAGGCCAAGGCAAGTGGATTGACTGAACCCGTGGGTTCAAGACCAGCCCAGGCAACTTGGTGAGTCCTCGTCTCTACAATAAATCAAAAATTAGTCAGGTGTGGTACTGTGCGCCTGTAGTTCTGGCTAATTGGAAGGCTGAAGCGGAAGGATCACCAGAGCCCAGTAGGTCAAGGCTGTGGTGGCTGGGAGCATGCCACTGCACTCTAGCCTGGGTGACACAGTGAGACTCCAACTCAAAAAAAAAAAAAAATGGGGGAAATCACTGACTTCATCAACTTGGTACAAGAAATGAGATATATGTAAAACAGCTGACACATGATACTCAATGAATATTAGTTTTCCTCCATATTTTAATGTCATTTACTATATAAAATGTTATCCAATTATCTTCTTTTGTTCAATATCTTAAAATTTATACAATAGAATGACATGATTTTACATATGAAAAACAGTTTAAATGGAGAACCAGGGCCTTTTTTTAACCTAAAAAATATGTTTTATCAGTTTTTCAAATGTTTTTATTAGATTAAAAATTCATTTAGGGGATATATGGATATACAACTAGTTTGATCAGCTACTAATATTTTTTGGTGTCCCTTTATTTTTGTACCCAAGAGCCAGTTCACCTTTTCTCCATGTTCAAGATTTAGCTTTGGTAAAATATTGCCATGCTCTTCCTCATCTGTTAATGAAGGCTTAGTATTTCCAACTTGCTTGGTGTAAGTTTCTCTCTTAGCTTTCTTTCTGCGGGTATGTTTTATAGGACTTTTCTGTTTTCTCTCAATTTCACTGCTCACATTCCACAACATTATCTTCCCATCATTCCCCCCAGTGAGCAGCAAATAGGTTTCCGGCAGAAAGCAGACCTGGGACACTCCTGAAGTGTGGCTCTTAAATCCCAGTTCTTGCTCACACTTGACTCCCATCACCCGGAAGATTCGAACCTTACCATCTTCAGCACCACAACTAAAAATGTTGCCACATGATGCCACGGAGAGAGAGTGGGCTAGGGCAGGGTTTAAGAGCTGACCAGGTGACTGTGGGCCCTCCATTTCTTCTGTTTCATCTTCCTGTAAATTTGTAATCCAGAGTGGCCGGGCTTTTTGAAGATTCCACAGCATCACCTTAAATGAGAGGAAGTTACATAGTCATGCAGAGTTCTGGCCATTTTCCTCAACTATCATGTTTATTCAGCTTCTAATAAAATAATCAAAGTAGACTGAGAAAGATCAGTAGGATACATTCCCAGCAATATTTAAAAAAAACATTTGGCCAGGCTCAGTGGCTCAGCCTGTAATCCCAGCACTTTGGGAGACCAAAGCAAGTGGATTGCCTGAGTCCGCAGGTTCGAGACCAGCCCGGGCAACTTGGTGAGACCTCGTCTCTACAATAAATAAAAAAATAGCTGGGCATGGTAGTGCATGCCTGTAGTTCCAGCTACTTGGAAGGCTGAGGTGTAAGGATCGCTGGCACACAGCAGGTTGACACTGAGGTGGCCGTGAGTGTGCCACTGCACTCCAGTCTGGGTGATAGAGTGAGACTTCAACTCAAAAATAAATAAATAATAATCACACACCACCATAACAAATTGAAATAAAAGCTAAAGTAAAATAAATATTAAAAATATAACACAAATGAATGAGTGCTAAAACTTGATATGAAAATAGTTTCTATTTAAACCTCTGAATACAAGGAAAATGAACATTCCAGAATCTGCCAGCTTCACTGTATTGGCAGATCCCCTCAATTCTTTTTCATACAGTTCCTCTAGTGCCTGGATTATATATTTTTTCTGTCCTCCTTAGACATTCAAACATGAACTGCATCTCAAGTGTTTTCAGCAGCTAAAACATTTTGGCATTTTACTTAAATCATCTAAATGTGTTAACAGCCATTCCAGATTCTACCAATTCCAGAATCATTTCCAAGTATTTAGGGTTCCTTTCTCTCTCTCTCTCCCTCTCTATCTCTATCTCTGTCTGTCTATCTATCTATCTATCTATCTATGTCTGTTAAGGTCTCACTCGGTCACGATCCTCGACCTCTGGGGCTCAGGCAATCTTTCTGCCTCAGCTTCCTGAGTAGCTGGGACTACAGGTATGTACCACCATGCCCAGCTAATTTTTAAATTTTTTTATAGAGACAAAGTCTCGCTATGTTGCTCAGGCTGGTCTAGAACTCCTGAGCTCAAACAACCCTCCCACTTTGGACTCCCTAAGTGCTGAGATTACAAGAATGAGCCACTGTACCCAGCTCCCTTTATAATTCTTTACTCTTCCAGACCACCAGAGACTCCAAGGTGCTTCATGCTTAATTTTTCAACCAGTCATTCAAGCAGTTGTCATCCTAAGCAGGAAAGCTAGAGATATTGAAGGAAATAAATAAGAAAGCTTGGGGCTTACGGTTCTTTAAAACATCAAAGGGAGAGAAAGCAGACAACTGTCAAATGATCAATAGTGAATGTAAACATATGTAAGGGACCTGCTTAAAAATTTTTCCCCAACTGGGCTCGGTGGCTCAGCCTGTAATCCCATGCCTTTGGGAGGCTGAGGTGAGTGGATTGCCTGAGCCCGTGGGTTCGAGACCTGCCTGGGCAACTTGGCAAGATCTCATCTCTACAATAAATCAAAGATTAGCCGGACGTGGTAGCACGCACCTGTAGTTCCAGCTACTTGGAAGGCTGCGGTGGAAGGATCGCTGGAGCCCAGCAGGTCGAGACTGTGGTGGCCGGGAGCAGCCACTGCACTCCAGTCTGGGTGACAGAGTGAGATTCCAACTCAAAAAAAAAAAAAAAATTTTCCCCTTATAGGCAGAATACCTACAAGGAAGACGCATCAAAATAGTAGAAACTTTACAAGCCAGAAGAGATTGCGGGCCCATACTTAAGGGAAAGAAAAGCCAGGCTGAATGCTGTTGCTCATGCTTTGTAATTCCAGCATTTTGGGAGGTTGAGGCAGGAGGATTGCTTGAGCTCAGGAGTTTGAGAGCACTCTAGATAACAAAGCAAGACCTCATCTCTACAAAAAAATTAAATAAATTAACCAGGCATTGTGGCATATGTCTGTAGTTCCAGCTACTCAGGAGGCTGAGGCAGAAGGATCGTCTAAACTCAGGAGGTGGAAGCTGCAGTGCCGTGAATGTGCTATGGCACTCCAACCTGGTGACAGAGTGAGCAGAGTCTGCTCACGCTGTCACCCAGGCCAGAGTACAGTGGCATGCTCACAGCCACCGTAGCCTTGACCTGCTGCTCAGGCAATCCTTCTGCCTCAGCCTGTCAAGTAGCTGGAACTACAGGTGCACGCCACTATGCCTGCCTAACATACAGATATGTGAGGGCTTGTTCCTGTCATAGTGTTGTTGAGGAATTGTTCGGTGGTCTCAGTTTTGTGGGTGACTTACATGGTCTGCAAGCTGTGTGCTTACTTGTGCATTTGTGGTGGGTAACATTGTTCTTTTGTTTCCATGTTTAGAATTCCCCTAAGCAGATCTTGTAAGACCAGTATAGAGGTGAGGAATTCCCTTAGGGCTTGTCTGTGAAGGACTTTATGGCACCTTCATTTAGTTTGAAGCTTAGTTTGGCAGGGTAAGAAATTCTTGGCTGGGCCAGGCGTGGTGGCTCACGTCTGTAATCCCAGCACTTTGGGAGGCGGAGGTGAGAGGACTGCCTGAGTCCAGGGGATTGAGAATAGCCTGGACAACTTGGCAAGACCTCATCTCTACAACAAATCAAAAAATTAGTTTGGCATGATGGCGCACACCTGTGGTTCTCGCTACTTGGACGGCTGAGGTGGAAGGACTACCTGTGCCCAGCAGGTCGAGGCTGCATGGCCATGAGTGTGCCACTGCACTCCAGCCTGGGCAACAGAGTGAGACTGCGACTTAAAAAAAAAAAAAAATATATATATATATATATATATATATGTATATGTATATGTACATATAAAACATGTATATATGTGTGTGCATATACATGCACACACTCCTAAAATAGGAGCACCCAGATTTAAAACAATTTAAAACAATTGTGACTTAACCTAAGAGAGGACACAGACAGCCATACCATAATAGTGGGGGACTTTAACACCTCACTAACAGCTTTAGACAGATCTTTGAGTCAGAAAACTAACAATAAAAATCCTGGGCTTAATTTTGACATTTAGCCAAATAGATCTAACAGATATCTACGGAACACTTCACCTAATATCTACAAAATATACATTCTTTTCATTCACACGAGTCATACTCCAAGATCAACAATATACTTGGTCATAAATCAACCTTGAATAAATCCAAAAAACTGAAATCACATGAAGCATCTCCTCTGACCACAATGGAATAAAACTAGAAGGCAACACCAAGAGAAATCCTGAAAACACACACATACATGGAAATTAAACAGCTTGCTCCTGAATTACTTTGGGGGTAAACAATGAAATCAAGATAGAAATTAAATTATTTGAAACAAATGAAAATTAAGACACAACACATCAAAACCTCTGCGATGCTACCAAAGTGATGCTGAGAGGAAAATTTATTACACTGCACACACACAAAGATCTCAAATAGACAATCTAAAGTCTCACCTCAGGGAGTCTGGAAAAACAGGAACAAACTAACATCAAAGCTAGCAGAATAAAATAAACAACCAAAATCAGAGCAGAAATAAACAGAATTAAGACCAAAAAAAAACCCAAAAAAAACCATACAAAGGATCCATGAGTTGAAAGGCTGGTTTTTTGAAAGGATAAGCAAGATCAACAGACCTTTGCCCAGACTCACAACAACAAAAAAAGAGACAGAAATTCTAAATAAACACATTTGTAAACAAAAAGGGTGACATTACAACCAACCCAGAAGAAATACAAAAGATTATCAGAGATTATTATAAACATCTGTATGTGGGCAAATTACAAAATCTAGAAGAAATGAATAAATTCCTGGAAACACACAGTCTACCAAGATTGAAACAGGAAGAGACTGAATCCCTGATCAGACCAATAATAAGCCATGAAATTGAATCAGTAATAAAAAACATACCTACCAGCCGGGCTCGGTGGCTCAGCCTATAATCCCACGCTTTGGGAGGCTGAGGTGAGTGGCTTGCCTGAGCTCGCGGGTTCCAGACCCGCCTGGGCAGCGAGACCTCATCTTTACAATAAATAAAAAAATCAACCAGGCATGGTAGCGCGTGCCTGTAATTCCAGCTACTCGGAAGGCTGAGGCGGAAGGATCGCCGGAGCCCAGCAGGCCGAGGCTGCAGTGGCCGGGAGCGGCCACTACACTCCAGTCTGGGTGGCAGAGTGACACTCCAACTCAAAACAAAAAAAACAAAAAAACATACCTACCAAAAAAGTTTAGGACCTGATGGCTTCGTAAGATGAATTCTACCAAATATACAAGGAAGAGCTGGTATCAAAACTACTAAAAATATTCCAAATAATTGAGAAGGAGAGAATCCTCCCTAACTCATATCACAAAGACAACATCATTCTGAAACCAAAAAATGGCAAAGACACGACAAAGAACAAAACCTATATGCTAACATTCCTGATGAACACAGATGCAAAAATCCCCAACAAAATACTAGCAAACTACATCCAGTAGTACATCACAAAAATTAACCATCATGATCGGGGGGATTTATTCCCAAGATGCAAGGCTGGTTCAACATACATAAATCAGTAAATTTAATTCACGACGTAAAGAGAAGTAAAAACAAGGACCACATGGTTATCTCAATAGATGCAGAAAAAGCATTTGATAAAATCTAATACCCCTTCATGATAAAAACTCTCAGCCATCTAGGCACTGAAGGAACATTCCTCAAAATAACAAGAGCCATCTATGACAAACCCACAGCCAACATCATACTTAATGAGCAGAAGTTGAAAGCATTCTTCTTAAGAACTCAAAACAGTGAGTGGATTGCCTGAGCCCGCAGGTTCGAGACCCGCCTGGGCCGCGAGACCTCATCTCTACAATAAATCAAAAAATCAGCCGGGCATGGTAGCGCATGCCTGTAATTCCGGCTACTTGGAAGGCTGAGGCAGAAGGATCACTGAAGCCCAGCAGGTCAAGGCTGTGGTGGCTGGGAGTGGCCACTACACTCCAGTCTGGGCGACAG